TATCAAATGGGGGCTTTAAAAGATGCTCCCTCAACCGCACCCCCCTTTTTTAATCTGATGGATTACCTGGAACTAAAATGTCAAAGGGGGAACCCATAGGTATGGTAATTTAGACCTGCAAAAGGCCTTCGATACTGTAAAACCACAATAATTATGTAATAAACTTCAAACTATCGGTATAGGTTCTGTGACTGGTTTAATCCTCCTTTGCAACAGGGAAAATAGTCAAATCAACAAAACAGAAACAGAACCCTGCCGTTTAAAATGTGGGTTCCCCAAAGGGATATTTTAGGTCCCCTTTTTATTTATATTTTGTCAATGTATGCCTATCAGTGTCAAGTGCAAACTCCTCCTGTATGCAGATGACAGTGCCTGTTAGTGTCAGGTAAAGACCCACAAGATATTGCTAATTTTTTTAACACTGGAACTGGAGTCCTGCAGCAAATGGTTAGTAGACAACAAACTATCATTACACCTCGGGAAAACTGAAGCCATTCTCTTTGGCACGAAACAAAAACTAAGAAGGGTAAATAATTTTAATGTTCAATTAATGGGGAGCCCATCACTTTGGTTTCATCAGTAAAATATTTGGGAACCCCGTTTGACCCATGCATGTCAGGAGAATTGATAGGGAACAGTGTAGTAAAAAAAGCAATGCCAGACTGAAGTTCCTATATGAAAAAGCACAGTGTCTACCTACTAAAGGCTCGCAGGACCCTATGTCTAGCCCTTATACAATGCCAAAATGGATTACGCTTCTCTTCTTGGTGCTCTGCCTTGACAAAAAAAAAAACTAAAAGATAGACTGAAAAATCACCCAGAACAAAATCGTAAGATTCATCCTGGGGCTGGGACCAAGAGAACATGTAGGCCAGGATAAATTTAAACAGCAGTTGGATATGCTGAATTTTTGAAACAGATTTAAAAACAACTGAAGCTAAATCATGTTATAAAATTGCTCACGAACAGTGTCCAAATATCTTGCTGTCAATTTTGTCAAGGTTGGAACCAAAGCAATCATAGTACTAGGGGGGAGAGAGCACAACTTTTGTAGTACCCACAGTCATTGGACAGGCTTCAAACACCTTTTTTGTACAGAAATAAAGGAATGGAACAGACTGCCCGCACATGTCAAACCCAGTCATAGTATGAACCAGTTCAAGAAAGTCCCAAAAAGGTGTTTGTTGAATGTAGCTACAGAAAGGGAGGGGAATGATTTTTCTATTTTTTAGCTAACATACGTGTAAATTTTACCATATTCCTAGTAATGACCCTCGTATTGTAGATAGTCTTAATGACCTTGGTGTAGTAGATAGTCTTTTTAGTATGATAATAAGATGTTATCTTCATTGTAGAATAATAAGAAAATATTATAACCTTCATATTATAATAATAAGGTAAAAGGACCCCAATGGAAATAAGTCACTCTGTCTGACTTTTTTGGGTTATCCCAGGTTCTCTACACATATGCTGCTATGTATGATAATTCTATGTAACTGTATTTGTGTATACCTGAATAAACTTACTTACTTACTTATTTCTTGTGTGCAGATTAGGGACCAGTACCTATAGGATTTTCCAGGTGTAGATTATGATGTATTTCTCGCCTGCGCTCCAGTGAGTACAAGTCAAGCGCTTCCAAGCGTTCCCAGTAGTTAAGGTGTTTGATGGAACTTATATATGCAGTAAAGGTCCTCTGTACATTCTAGATTTGCAGTTTCACCTGCCTTATATGGAGATGTTAGTGTACAGCAGTATTCCAGCCTAGAAAAAACAATTGATTTAATAAGGATCATCACTGGCTTAGTATCTCTTGTATTGAATGTTCTCATTATCCAACCTATCATTTTCCTTGCAAATGTGATAGTGGCATTGTTGTGGTCCTTGAAGGTGAGATCCTCAGGCATTACTACTCCTAGGTCCTCTACATTACTTTTCCGCTCTATTGTGTGATTAGATTTTGTAGTATACTCAATTCTAGCTATTATTTTCTCCAGTTTTCCATAACGGAGTGGTTGGAATTTGTCTTCATTGAACATCATATTGTTCTCTGTTGCCCATTGGAAAACTTGGTTTATATCTTCTTGGAGGTTAACAGTGTCCTCAATGGATGACACTCTCATGCAGATCCTAGTATCGTCTGCAAAGGATGATACAGCGCTGTGGTTTACATCTCTGTCTATGTCTGATATGACGATGAGGAGCAGGATAGGGGCGAGTACTGTGCCTTGTGGAACAGACCTTTTCACTATGGCAGATTCCGATTTAACTCGGTTTACCACTACTCTTTTTGTTCGATTGGTTAGAAAGTTGAAGATCCATCTGCCCACCTTGCCGGTTATCCCTT